GTGACCTAGCCGGCTAATCTTCAGTTTGCAAGAAAAGAACCAAGCTCAGAGAACCCCAAGGACTCCACAGTTCAACCCTGAGCTACACATATTCACCTCTCCCCATTCTCCCCCCCCCCATTTTTTAAAAGTGTTTTGGCGGCATTGCCAACTTGATGGTTCATTCTGCAGGACCCCAAAGCTTGCCGATTGCTTGGCGCGATTTCTCTTGGTTCTGACTTTCCACCTTAGCCCAGGAGTTTCTTTCAACCTTATGGATCTCCTGAGCTGGACTTCGGATAACGCTGTTTGTTTTTCCACTTCCCGGTGTGAGTTTGATGATTAGTGAGTGTTTCCTGGTCCTTGCTGAATCACAAACCAGATTGCCTGTAATCTGGAGCAGTAAAATGTAGCCTGGTTATGCGTATCTGATGCATATCTGCCGTTTACCCTAGTGGCTGGGTTTGTACAACATACTTAACCAAATCAGCGATTAAAATCAAATCAACCAACTCAACTAAATCCTGCAATCCTGTGCTCCCTATCCATTATTTATTATTCAGGTTTGAACAACTGGAACCTTTGTAGATCAAACTAGCCTCTTCATGCAGACCCAAATTCCCTTCTGATGCAAGATTTCCCCATGGTTTCCCCCACCCCAACCCCACCCCCAACCCCACCCCCATTTGTCTTCTTTCTCAAGGACAGCATCTAAATACTATTTCCCGAAACCTTCGGACACACCTTTTCTGCTTAATCTGTTTGTGGATTAATTTACTCAAACGTATTAGGGTGGAGAAGGGTGTAACTCTTCCAAAGTCAGGATTCCCCCCGTTTTGTTTTGTTTTTTGGAGTAAGACTTGTAGTTTTAGTTCCTTAAAAGTGAATGAAAGGAGAGGGTTCTGACTGGGGATTTTCTTTAACAGTGCTAATATTCCATCAGGTTTCCAGAGCTGTTAGCTGTAAAGATAGGTGACGAAAGCTGGATGCAAATTTAGTTAAGCTTAGAGTAGACTCATTGAAGGCTGGGGGCAGCAGCAACTTAAATCCCATTACTTCAAGGACTGTGTTCTGGATCCAGCTGCAAGTCCTCTCTTAATTAAATTGGTTAGATCAGTCACTTTTACATCAACCACTTGTATTGGTGCAAAAGTATTGCCTTAATGGGGGCAGTGAAGACTTCTTTTTTTTTTTAATTTACTTATACTTTTTTTTTTACTTTTAAAGAAACATTTCCTTTGAAGTCAAGTGGCTTTTGAGAACTCAGCAGCAGGCATTTTCTCAAGAAAGGGCATTTTTATTTGTAGAGTGGCATAGACTTTGGAAAACATGGGGTTGAAGCCTTGCGTAGCTCTGAAGCTTTCCCAGGCTAACCTGCTTCACTGGGTTGTTGTGAAAATAATGCCGTGGGAGGGAATAGGACTCTTGTCCAGCTTGACAGTGACAAGGCCACCTCTTGTCCTAAGGTATGTTTGTGGAGATCGAACTGGAGGGAGAGGCAGAATAGATCCTTATGGAGCACCTTGGAGAAAAGTTGGATGGAAATGCCCATTACTGTGGACCTTGTAAGAGTTGCTGAGCCGGGCTGAACCTGACAGACCTCACCTCACCTTATTTTCCTTTTCTTCTCCAGGTTGCCACCATGTCTGTGTCACACAGTTCCAAGCTAAACAAGGGGGTCAGAGACCAGTACATGAAGCTACCCCAAGGGAAAAGGGTGTTGGCCACATACATTTGGATAGATGGAACCGGGGAGGGCCTTCGTTGTAAAACCAGAACCTTAAACCAGGAACCAAACTCTGTTGAAGGTAAGGCTGAACATGGGCCACCTCACCCACCACTGCACATCTCTCGTTCTCCAATGGTGGGCTTTTCCTGAGCTCAAAACTTACTGAATCCTGTTTTAGCAAGCTGTTCAGGTTTGGGCCTTTCTCTTTTTGCTTTCAGAACACTACGGGATTAGGTTTTATTTTCTCTTCGTTGCATCCAGGATGGGCTCTAGTTAGCAGATAGGCAAAAACGTGGCAATAAATGGGGGATGGACATGGACCAGGAGGAGTAGGATGGACTTCCTTGCTGGAGTCCCATATCGGTTATGCTATTTTTTTCCCAGTCTCATTCCAAGGTGAGAATGCTGTGAAATTTGGGGTTTGAATTAATAATGTTGATAAACCGCCTTGGGATTCTTTAGGTTAAAAGGTGGGTGTGCCTCTTCCAAAGTCTGTTCCTAATGAAAGGTTCCTCTCTCAAATGATCCTGCAGAACTTCCCGAATGGAATTTTGATGGCTCAAGTACAGGACAAGCCGAAGGATCTAACAGTGATATGTTCCTAATACCCGTGAAGATGTTCCGAGACCCGTTTTGCTTAGACCCCAACAAGCTGGTATTGTGTGAGGTTCTGAAATACAACCGGAAACGGGCTGGTGAGGATTTCCTTTGAACGTTCCTCTTTTAATCCCATTTTTCTCCCGCAGGTGAGGGCGTGCAGACTGCCAGTTTATCTGCTTTGCTTAAAGAGGTCAAATGAGATGCTCTCTTCCTGGTGGGTTCTAGAACCCAAAGGATAAGTATTGGTCCATGCCTATGATGTGGAAGGGGACAGGAATGTCCTCCCTACCACCTGTGTACCTTGGTGGCCAATCGTTTTTGCTGTAGTCCTGTGGCTATGAACTGAATTATTTGGTTAACAAACACTAGCACGGGATGAGATTTTTCGTGACCTGAAATTTAGGGATCCCTTGCTTTTATTAAGAAAAAAAAAGATGGCAGATTGAGCCCCAGATCTCATAGGCAGTTGCAGCACAGTCCTTAACCATTTGAGTTGAGCCTTTCAATTTCCCTTTACTCTTTGGGGCCGTTCAACGTATAAAGCTGTCACCCCAGCTGGCTGGAATTCAGCATTCAAGGGTGAACATTTGGTCATTTGAAGATGCTTTCCAGTCTGTTCCTAAAGAAGCTGCTAGGCTCAAATTCTCCATGTCCTTCTTTTCCTCCTCCTGCAGAGACCAATTTTAGGAACACCTGCAAGCAAGTCATGGACATGGTGAAAGATAGTCAGCCTTGGTTTGGAATGGAACAGGAGTACACCTTGCTGGGCGTTGATGGGCGTCCATACGCCTGGCCTGAAAATGGATTTCCGGGGCCACAAGGTAATGGAGAACAGGTTGCTGATCAGGCCAAAGTGCAGGATTCTGTTCTAGTGGTAGACAAAACTCTGTGTTCCGTTCCTGGATTGTTTCAGTTTCTGCCCAGAGCAAACCAGTCTGGGCTTTCTGGGGCTGTTAAATTCTGGAAGCAATGTCTTGGGATGGTCCTGGCACAGTCTGACTCAGAAACAGGTCCACCCTGCAAACGCTTGGAGCTGCTCATGAGACCCAGATATTTGGGAATGCACCCTTTGGAGGTCCCTATCTTGTTCTCCCACTAGAAGGACACAAGGGCAGATACACCCTGTGATACTGAAGGAAGCGTTCAGAAAGGCCGAGCAACCTGGAGGCCAAATTTCTGGCATCTTTTGCCTGCCAGTTTCCATTGGGAAAGGAAAGGAATAATGCATGCAGTAAATACATTATTTATGTATCTAAGTCTTCTGGAAGACTTAGGCACTTAGGCGAACAGGTGGGATACCAGTTGTACAATCAATCCATCATAAAGCAAGCCCTGCTTTCAAGAATCCACCTTTCTTTTTTTCCCCCTACCTGCCAAAAGTGCAGACTGTGATGGAAAATAGCCATGTGACATCCCCCAAGGACATTATTTGTACCCAGCATTGCACAAAATGTGCTACAGGAGAACTGGTTTGGTTATGAAATCTTTTCTTCCTGGTTTTTTTCTTTTCTTTTCTAAACACATTTTCTCTGTCTTTTTTTTTTTTTAAGTTGCTAGTTATGCGAAAGCACAGGTAAATCCAGGTTAGAGTTGCCAACATACTAGGGAGAAAGGATCCTAGGTGGGAGGAAAACAACAGGAACAGGTTTAAATCTCTTGAGTGTCCCCCCAGGAAGAAAGAAAAAAAATGGAATTAATAATAATAAATAATCTGCCCCTTCCTTCCTTCCTTCCTTC